GTTTGTCACTTGTTCAAAATTTGTCTAGTTTCCTTTGAAAAACAGCAAATGTTTCAAGTGTTTGCTTTAGAATCCCTCTTTCAAAATGCACATGCTCAAGTCTTTCAGAATTATGTCCAAATTTAAGGTTATTTTTCCTAAAATTAAATGTTTAAACAAAATAAAATGATATTTGCCTATATTTTAAATCTGCTTCATAAAATTTTGGACATACTTTTTCTACTTAAAAATTCTTTTAACATGATTTAAAGGAAGCAAGACAGTAAATTTTTTACAACTTATATGCATGAAAGTTATCATTAGAAAGCATGGCTAAAATAGAGATGATTTATATGTGCCAGGCATTATATGTATCTTTCACTTAGTCTTCACAAGACAGCACAAAGTAACATAACTGCTTTTCTTGTGGAACCCATTCAACAGAAATCATCTGTAGTGCATTAAAAATGACGACAAATTCTTTGCCACTCCTCCATCAACAGGTAGTCTAATTTTCCATTTCCTGAATGTGGGCTGGCTTTGTGAGTTCCTATGGCCAACAGAATATAGCCTTGCAACTTCCATTCTTGCTGCACTACATAAAGTAAAGAAGGATAAAAGACACTGCCAACAGCCAGCAGCAGCCACCAGACCTGTGGGTGAGGCCATTTTGGACAACCCCGCTGTTCGAGTCATCACCTCAGACTAGCAGAACCACCACACAGAAGGTGCCCACGGGCAGAATCATGCTGAAATAAACAAACTGTTGTTGTTTTAAATCAGCAAGTTTTGAGGTAGTTCTACCAAGGAGTAGTAAATAACAAATTTATCACCTTAGGAAGATATATTTTGAGTAACAGAAGTCATACTATTATTCTCAGTGATTTGACCATTATGTATTGAAAACTTAGTACCAAATCTTATTTGGTTACCCTAAAAATCAGACATCTGACAAACAAGGAAGTAAAACAATGAAATAAAGAATAATAGTTAATTAGTGACTGTGAACAATCCTCAAGTTATAGTATTAAAGGGAAGAGCAGATACACAGTCTGGCTTCATTTCGGTTAAAAAGAGTGGAGGAGTAATATATACATAGATATAGATATAGGCATAGACATAGAGATAGACATCAACATAGATATAGACACAGATATACACACACACATGCAGATACACACACACATTCACATACTCTTACACAATTTCTGTAAGGATTTACAAGACACTGGTAAAAATGTTGGCATAGTGCTAAGGCATCTGACTGCTAACCAGAGGCTGGCGGTTCAAACCCACCAGCCACTCCTTGGAAGGAACACTGGCCACTCTACTTCTGTAGAGATACTGCCTCAGAAACCCAAGGAGGGGTCGCTATGAGTCGAATCAACTCAATGGCATTGAGTTTGGTTTTTCAGTTTTGGTAAAAATGGTTGCCTCCAGAGAAGAAAACTGTGAGACAAGAGGGGAGCTAAACCATACACACTCTACACTCTAAAGAGTACCCTTACATCCTGACCCCGTAAACATATTGCCTAATTAAAATTTAAAATTCAATTTAAAGTTTAGAGTTAATGTAGTCTTTATATCTTAAATATATACACTGAAATATTTCCAGATAAAATGATATGTTTTAGATTCACTTCAAAATAATGAGAGTGGGAGTGGGAGTAGGGGACAGGATAAGATGTTTAGATCAAACTCTTTCATAGAACTGAGTTAGTAATGATTGAAACTAAGTGAAGGCTATGCAGGTTCATTATGATACTATGAAATTCTTCATAATAAAAAGTTATTTTAAAAAATATAATATAAAGCTTTAACAATCTTGCTCAGAAAGCCATCTCTACATTATAATAAAAGAAGATAATGGGTGTGAACATGTAACATTCACAAACATATACAAAGCTTAGGGTTAGTTTTCCTTTTATTTATCTGATATTTAAAACTTTAAAAACTTAGGAGCTACTATTAATACTGTTGTGCGGCAGGCTAGGTGTCCTGCAAATATCACTCATTTGATCTTCACTACAAACCTGTAAATTAAGCAGTATCACCACTTTACAAGGAGAAAATGGAGAATCCTGGTAATTGCCCAAGGTTATAAAGTTAGTAAATGACAAGATTGAAATGTAGGTCTGTCTCTCTAAATCCCATGCTCCTTGGGGAAGAATTCAAAAGGTAAAAGGATACAAATGATGTACAAACAGGAAAATCAGCTCCTAACTGACCGAACGGTGAGAAGCATACCTACATTTCACTGAGAAAATAGCATGTGGATTTTTAAAATACCGTATTCCCCAACTTAAGTAAAAATGGGTTTTAAGCTCTAAAATGTAAAAGCATCTATTAGCTCTAAAACAGTGTTGCACAAATTTTCAACTATTAGGTTAAATTATTTAATTGTTATCTGTTATTAACTAAGGAAGTATTTTAAATTTCATGATTCACTAACGTTCTAAGATTTTAATTCATTTTTCTGGAAGAGATTTTTTTAAGCATATCACATTGTCCCAGATCATTTTTACTCCTGTTTTTCTACAAATATTTTCACTTCCTATTCTACATGTACAAATATTTTCACTTCCTATTCCACATATACAAAATAAATAAATAAATAAATAAATAAATAAAAGGTTATTTTTGAAGCCCAGAATACTTATGTGTCCCTTAAATAAAAGAATCCTTTAAGATTATACAAGCAAGCACATATTTGCTAGCGTAAGAATGCATTTTTTAAAAGCATATATTTTGCTCTTCCTTATTAAGAATTTTAGATTGATATGTACTCATAAGAAGGGAAGCTTTGCTACACAGATTACATTTTCGACTAGGAAAAACACCAAGGGTTAAACAAGAATTACAAGCAACATGCTTTTAAAAGCAGTAAGTGAGACCCCCTTCAGAATGGCCCCAGCCTCTGAACTCCCTCTGCACTTGCTTCATGTCTCTGCAAAAGCGCAAAATGACTGTGATTTCTCTGCTTGTGTCTCACTAGGAATTACTCCATGGCAGGCCTTTCAATCCCGAACAGCCAGCAACACTGGCAGATGTAACTCAGTCATCCTTTGTGGAAATAAGGGAATGTGGAAATATCATGAGTTCCAAAAAGCACCCAAACAGAAATTTCATGGTTTCTAGGGGAATGAAGGCATGTTGTTTCCATTTTTAAATATAATAAATATTATAAATAAATTAGGGGGTTCACTGGCCATTTGGATTCTAGCAGTATCATGACACCACATCTCACTAAAATATAAACACAGACATTTCCTGAGTCATATTAAAAATGATTCAGAGGAAAAGTGAATTTTAACTGGAAAAAAAATTTGAATATATAGATATGTGTATGTAATATGTTAAGTAATCTTCTGTAGTTTGGGGGCTTTAGAACATTGGACAGTGGGGTTGAAGGTCACATGAACTTGTCCTGAAATAAACATCACATTTCTATCTATCACCACTCACCAGACTGGTGCACAGCCATAGTATATGTAAATGAAAAATATTATATATAAAATAATTATGCATGTAGTCTTCATTTACTCAAACATTTATTAAGAGTGGGAAGTGCAATGGATGAAAAGATGAAAGCATGCCCCTTTTATCCTTAAAGAACTCTCAAGTCTATAGTAGGAAAAGAATTTATAGAAATTTTAAGTTATTCACCTATTTCTGGAAACCAGTATGATTTCTGAGTAAATTCAGCATTTCCTAAATTCTTCAACCCCATACCAAAAACAATAGATACAAATGCACACTAATTAAAAAAAAAAAAAAAAAAAAAACACTTCTCCCTGGGAATTATTTGAAAAATGGACTGCTTTGGCCAAATTCGGCAGAATACAAAATGGTTAATTCTTTAGCCAATGACTTGCATTTCAAGTTTTAACTTGGACTGAATGTATAATGAAAAGCAAATGGTCCAGTATGGAAATGTTGACAGACTTACAACAACTATAACATTGCACTTATTAAAAATTAATGAAGTCCCTGAATTTTTATTTATAAAGTGGATATGATTAGTTTTAGATTATTCTCTGCAAGCTAATAGTCAGAATTTAATATGATGATGGGTATAGATTGCACTGATTTTCTTATCCACTGCTTGCAGCCTATGTGCATTTAAACCAAAAAACATCTGATACACACTAACTATGAATTATTTCCCTGGAGATCTCTGAGGCATGAAGAAAAAGCCTCTTAAAATAAATTTAAAATACTATATGCTTGATGGTGTATAACCAAAGGTTTAATCTCACCACTAAAGGGGCAGTTACCATGATTTTGCAATAACCCTGCAAACAATAATCAAGACAGCTCCTGTTGTTCTCTCAGTAAAATCTTCGTAAACAGGGATATATTATAATTTGATATCTGTAAGATCAACAGCTATACTTCATGACAACTCGTAAGATTTTATTCACCATTAAATTGAGCATTTTCCTGAAAAGCCATAGGAAAGTGTGTTATTTACCAAGTACTGTCCTATTAACTATAGATTAGCACGTTAAAGTAGTAATGCATTCTTCCTCTCAAAAAAGTGTGGTCCATAAAGCAAGTTCTGAAATGTAAGCTATTAATTAGATTTTCAAACTTTGGGAAAATATATCTGTGCTATAGTTAAATCATTATTGTGAAACAACTGATTCTAATTCTTTTTGTAACACAAATATAAGAAATATTCCCAAAACAGAGCTCTCCATGATTGGTCAGTTTCAAAAATGTTCAGTATTACATGATTAATCATACTCAATTTTTTAAAAAGAAGAAAGGAGAAGAAAAAAAAAAAAAAGAAAGGCAATTACAATAAAAACAAATGGTGACAGTGAACTTTAGGAAATCAGGGAACATGTAATTCAGGAAAGGGTGAGAGACAATATAAATTAGCATCAAGGAATTCAAAATGGAGATCTCAAGAATTTAAGTAAAGGTTACCAAAAACACCAGACAAATTTTTTTAAAATACAAGTAGATGACCCCATCAGTATTTTAGAAATGTAATAAAACCATCTTTCACTCACCAGTGCTGGATTTTCTCTTGGCAGTTAGTGACCACCTGTCATGAAAACAGATAACTACTCATGAAAAAACAGGGCTTCGCATAGAGCTACGAAATCAGTGTATCAGAAAACTACAACAGTGGCTTTACAGATTTAATAGCATCTCAGTATACATTTTTATTTGTCAAATGCACAGAGATGTGAATGTTAGTTTTTAAGCAGCATACTTTATCATAACACTCTAATGCAGGCTGATAACTGCAGAACAAATTACAGCTTTCTGATTCATACTTTGGTACAAAACCCGCTTCATAACTATTAGGTGACATATGATATAAGATAACTAGTATTTTGTACAATCTACAGACCTGTTTTCAATGTTACATATTTTGTAGAATACGCAAATGGCAAATGTTATAAATAACAAGAAACCAATGTAACATCCACGTTTCATCAGTATTAAAAAAAGAAAGTGACAGTAGTGAAAATATTTTATTTTGTCAGTATATCTCCAAATGTCTTCACCTGTAATTTTTATTCTGACACATTAAAAATGAGTTCAGTAATATTTTTCTACTACATTTTCAAGAAGAAATACTTGGGATAAAGAGATGCTCTGAACAGCCCATTTGTTCTTCAGTGAATTATGATCAAATTTTAAGCACTTCATAGCCAGTTTAAACTATGTTTATAATACTAAAAGGATGAAATTAAGCATAAAAGTTACTTGTTTTCCTTAATGATATTTCAGCAGATTCTCAAAAAGCTTACAAAACAAGAGCAATAACCAGTAAGGAAAAAAAGGAACTCTTGAGATGGCAATTTTTTAAAATAACACTATTTTCAAAGATTGCTAATCATCTATAGTAGAAATGTCCGTTAATAAAAATTTTAAACAAAACCCTCAAACTCTGGAGCACTATTTTAGAGATAGAGAAACTAAGATACAAGCCAAAATGTTTCATACAAGGCCATGTGAAACAGACAGCAGTCTTTTCTAGTTTGAAACACACTGCTCCAGAGACAAATACCAACATTGTCTCTCATGTATGCTCAATGTTTTGTGACCCAAAAGTCACACACAAAAAAAAATTTTTAGGCCTGTCACTAAATTCCTCTATTATAACATTTAATTCCTGAAATAAATGTTCTCCTTTAGAACATTTTAAATACTAAGGCAGCAATCCTGTACCAAAATACACGCTGTAATCAGATACCCAACCATACTGCACATTAACTCAGCATAAAAAGTCCGTTTTAGAATGAAGATCACTCAGTAAGTATCAATCACATAGCAACACTTAATAACAGTGGTAATATATAATAGAGTACTGACTTTACATCTGGAAGAGCCAGGCTAAAACCACATCAATCCATTTCACTGTTTCTGATTTGGCAGTGATTATAAAATAGACAAACAGAATTAAATGTAAATTGAAACAGAAAAAATCTTCATGAAATCCTTTTTCACAAAGTTGCTATTTAACAACCCCATTAAAAGATGAGACCCAAAAACAGTCAGGATGCTTTCCAATCCCAATGCATGTGTTTCCAAGCATGAAGTGAGCCAAAAGCACAAAAAGAAAAGCCCTGCAAACCATAAGAGCAGAATGTTCATTAACCTCTACATGATAATCCTTTCGTAGCTGCATATTAACTAGTTACATATTCATAATCATTTACATTATTTAAAGGACCTTCGATGAAATTTTCTAGGCTATATCCATTAGTGGCAGTGTTAAAGGTTATAGAAGATAGTCTTCTTAATGTTTCCAGGAAGCCTTTTTAATTAGTAAATATGTAAATTTGGCACATATGCTTTTTATGTTTAAAAAACAAGTCACTGGTAGATGGCATGTTTTCTTGCCATCACCCCCCATAGACTCCACTCTGCTCTAGCCATCCTTCTGCCATTCTCCCCCACAAACATCAATTTTAATTTTAATTCTTTCCAAAAATAGACTCCCTAGGAACAGATACTCAAAGATAGAACAATAGCAATGAAAATCTATTTAATCATTTACAAAAGAAATTTACATTACCAAAATACTGCTTTACCTTTCAAGACTTTGCTGGCTACAAATAGTATATTTAGTGATATTTTGGAAAGCAAGGAAATAAAGTAAAAAGACAAAGTAGTTAAGTATGAAAATGCATGAGGCAGCTGTCTGATGGTCTGTCCACTGCTGTATTTGTTTATAGGATTTATGGCCCATCTACATTTTAAAAAAGATTTGAACTCTAACAGTTTTATTGATATTCTAAGATATCTTTTTATTTTTTTTCTTTTTTATAGAAAGAATTATTCAACAGAAAAAAATGAGTACATTTCCTCAGCCACCAAGGAAAATTTAGAAAAGAAAATCATAACACTGAAAGTTGAATTTAACCTGGGTTAAAAAAAAAAAAAAACCACCTTATTTTTCTATGAAGTTAAAAAACTCCAAATAATCTTATCTCTTCTGAAAAGAGATCAGGTTAATTCCTTAAGTATTAAATAAATTAGTTAGGTAGTGGGCCTGGTTCTACAAGCAACTCTTGGCAAAGAAAATAAAAAACCAAAAATAATTTCATTACATTCTTGTCCATCACAAAAGCTTTTGGAAAATAAGAGTACTATCTACTAAAAATACTAGTTTACTTATTTTAAGTTAAGCCTACACTACATGCAAATATGTATATAATCTATTATTACTCCTAAAGAAAAAAATACCTGTTTTTATCATTTTTATAAAGAATTGGTTAACAGGTTTTAACTATTAAAATAACTGATTTCGTAAATTATTTACTGTAATATGGCTGCACTTATAGGCAGGAATTAATAAAACATACACTTATGGGAGCTCTGGTGGCGTAGCGCCTAAGGCATGTGATTGCTAACCAGAAAGCCGACAGTTCAAACCCACCAGCCACTTCTCGGAAGGAAGACTGGGCAATCTACCTCCGCAGAGATAATGCCTCAGAAACCCAAGGAGGGGTTGCTATGAGTCAGAATGGACTCAACAGCAGTGAGGTATTTGTTTGTTTGTTTATATACTTATATAGTAGTACAGCAATAACCAAAACCCACTGACATTGTGTCGATTCTGTCTGAATCATAGCAATCCTATAAGACAGAGAAGAACTGTCCCATGGGGTTTCTAAGGCTGCAAATCTTTACAAGCTGAGTGCCTCATCTTTCTCCCATGCAGTGATAGCTGATGGATTTGAACTGCCAACCCTTTGGTTAGCAGCCCAATGCTTTAACCACAGGCACCACCAGAGCTCCTAGAGCAGCAATAAGCCCACAGTAAAGAAAAAGGGCCATGAACCAATTTACAACTTTTTCAAATACATTCAAGTTTTGAAAATCTTTACCAAGAACCCACTAGTTACAAAATCACATGGTACATTTCCAACTCAATCCTGTCCTACCCTAGAGTAGTAATAATAACAACAACAGTGGTAAATGCTAAGCAATTCACGTGATGAAAATCAAGCTGCAAACAGCTCCATGAGGTTGGTTTTAACCCCTTTTTAAGGAGAAGAAACCAAGGTTCAGCAATCAAGTAACCTGTCCAATATTATACAAGAGTTGGTAAGAGATGAAGGAAGTTAATTTTATAACCAAGTCTATTTAATCCAAAGCCCACATTCACTGTACTGGATCGCTTATAACCATCATGCAATTTATTGGATAACAGAAGAAAAGCACCTGTTTACTTCCAAAGCCTTTCTTTCTTAGAAAAGCAATTGCTCCTGCTACTTCTCTTCCTCCTCAAAACCACACCGACACACGCACAATGACCTTGCCAATAAGAGCAGTAAAAGAAAATAAGCATAATTTCTCCAATTCACACCTAGGAATAAATTCAACCAGGGACGTGAAGGACTTACACAATAAAAACTAAAAAACACTGTTGAAAGAGACGAAAGAAGACTCAAATAAATGGAAAGATGCTCCATGTTCATGGATTGGAAGACTTAATATTGTTAAGATGTCAATATTACCCAAAGGGATCTATACATTTAATGTATTCCCAATCAAAATTCCAAAAGCCTTCTTTACAGAAACAGAAAAACTAATCCTCAACTTTATATGGAATGGCAAAAGGCCCCAAATAGTTAAAGCAATGTTGAAAGAGAAGAACAAAGTAGATGCCTCATATTTCCTTATTTTAAAACATATTATACAACCACAACAATCAAAACAGCCTAGCAGTACTGGTATAACAATAAACACAGACCAATGGACAAAATCCAGAGTTCAGAAATAAACCCACATGTCTATGGTCAACTGATCTTTGACAAGGTACTAAGTCCATGTGATGGGTTAAGAGGAATCTCTTCAATGTATGGTGCTGGGAAAACTGGATTTCCAAATGCAGAAAAATGAAACAGAATCCACACCTCACACCATATACAAAAATAAATTCGAAATGGATTAAGGACCTAAATGTTCAAACTATAAGCATGAAATTCTTAGAAGAAAAAGGTAGAGGCAACACCGTAAGTCCTAGTTTTTAACAATGGATTACCTGATATAATAACAAAAGTACAAACAGCGAAAGACTAAATAAATAAATGAGAACTTATAAAAATTTTAAAATTCTGTTCATCAAAAGACTGCCAAATAAGTGAAAAGACAAGGTACTGACTGGGAGAGTATCTTCAGAAACCATATATCTGACAATAATTTAATAACCCAAATATTAAAAATCTTCAACAACTTAACAACAAAAACACAAATAACTCAATCACAGAATGGGTAAAAGATTTGATAGATCTTTTACCAAAGAAGATATTCAAATAACACCAAACCCACTGCCATCGAGTTGATGCTGACTAATAGCGGCCCCCAATGGGTTTCTAAGACTGCAAATCTTTACAAATAGATTGCCTTATCTTCCTTCTATGGAGTGGCTGGTGGGTTTGAACCACCAACCTTCTGGTTAGCAGTCAAATGCCTTAGGCACTGTCCACCAGAGGTCCTTCTCAATAACTACCAAATGCACGTAAAGATGCTCAGCATCATTAGCCATCAGAGAGATACAAACCAAAACCACAGTGGGACACC